CTAGTCAAGCATATATTTTGTAAGAGGCTAATCTCTCTCCCTTTTTCTGCAATACTGCTGAAGACTGCTGCCCAGCTTCTGGAAGGCTTGCCTGCGTTTGCAGTGGAGATGATTGAGTTCTTAGTAGAATTGGTCTTTGCGTACAAAAGGGTCTGTAGTCATTCCCTATGTATTCAGGTTTTATAAAGAAAGTTGAAGCATGCTTACACTACACCAGAAAAATGTGTTTCTACCTGTGGTGTGAACTGCTTTTCTGTTTGATTGGCTGGTCTTTGCCAACACATTCCTTCCACCTGGATTGGTCCGTATTCCAGAATAATGTTAGTAAGATGCTGACTGCTGAGGATTCAATCCAGTGTTTACTGTAATATGGATGACTTCAGATGTCCAGGTTTTTCTCTGTTTTTTTTCCCCTTCTTCATTTTTGACTGTGAGATATTTTGACAGTTTTCTATTTTTGACTTTGCAGGCTGTGTTTTCCCCCTGAGTTTAATATGTCTGCTCTTTTCAAAAGCATTGTTTTTCATTTTGGCTTTTACTGTGGAGAGCTGGTGGGAGATTCATCACAATTATTTGTGATCTGTAGAAAAGAGAAAGAAGGGAAGAAAAGACCGTGTTTCCCTTCCTTCTTCCTTGAGCAGAAGAAATGCAGGCAAGGATTGTAACAAAAGCGCTGGGAAAATATGGGATTTCTGTAAACATGCACAGGATTTAAATCTTCTAATATATGTGTCTTGGCTTTGCTGCAATTTTGTCATCAAGTACTTCACCTTGGTTTTCTGTTGTCTTTGTTCAGTCTAGTGATAGCAAGTGATAGCAGGATATGATGAGTAATGACAAATTAGTGGGTGTTTTTCTTTTTATAAACTTGTTGCCATGAAAGGTGAGGATTGCAGTACTTTCTTAATAGTTGCCCAGGCTTACAGATAAGTTTACTGTTCATGAAACTATTTGTACTAGTTTGTCAGAGTGTTTCTAGTCTTGTATTTTCAAGCTTTTTCCCTTATGTGAATAATCTTAGAGTGAATAGTGCCATTGGACTCAATCAGCAGGCACTGCTGTTGATGTTCTGTTTCTGGAGCCAGACGACGTTCACAGTGGAAGGGAAATAATTTTATTTATAATACTGTCTGAGCCAGGAGCTCTATTTTTGTGGGCCAGTATCTTGCTGTGCTAAAAACAAAAAGGTTATCCTTGTCCTTGAGAACTTATTATACCTACCTGTAAGCCAAAAGAGACAGCGGATGTGTGTTACCAGTAACATCAGGCAGTACAGAAAGTAAAGGAGTACGGTTGGCAGTAGCTTCAACACACCAAAAGCCTGATCCGTAGCAGGCTTCTAAAAATTCCCCTCCGTGGGAGAGAAGAGTTTGAAAGAGGCAATTAGAAAGAAAATAGCGAACGTATTTGTAGGACTTTGGGGGAAACTCCTTGGGAACAAGGCTCGGGGCATGTTGCGAACCCCGTTGCCCAAGCGGCTGCAGCGGGGCCACTTCCAGCGCCGTCCCGCTCGCCGGAGCCTGCCTTCTCGTAATGCGACGTTTGCGCGCAGAACTCGTCTACACTGATTTTTTTCCTTTAAAGCCTTAAAGTAACTGGAATTTAGAATACTTTTAGTGTGCTGGTAAGTAGTTTTTGAATAGTGTGAGGGCAGTAGACTGCGGACTTTAAGCTCCCTCTGGTGGCTATACAGTACAGTCTAAAGCTTAGCAGTAGCAGTTGTCTGTTCAGGATATTTTTGAGTCTTAGTTGATAATATATAATTACTGTGATTTTTAAAATGAATGCAGGGATATGATGTGCCTTATGCCTTTCTAGGGTGCCAAAGGTGGTCTATAATCAGACTTCAGAAAAATAGAAAATAAAGTTAGAGCCCTCTTTTCTAGTTATTGTAAACCTGAGGTGGCATTTCCCCTCAAACGGCTTTAATTCTGCTATTTTTTCAGTGGTGCCCTGATTTGCTGCTGATGTCCCTGAAAGCGTTCTGCCCTTACACGTATTCCAGCGCGCTGAGAATAGACGTGAACTCTGTATGAGAAAGTTGAGTGCGCTGTGTTAATGCCAAATCAGGTCAAGATCAGATAGCCCCTGGTTTGCTATTCTTGCTCCAAGAATATAAATATGAGTGATCCCAGCCTTGCAAAATGTTATTCTTTGTCACTTATACCCTCAGGATTCCTTCTAACATTGCTGTACTTGCAGAGGTTTTGCAAGAGTGCTGAATATATCTACGAGCTTGGTGTTGCTGGAGGGGTGACGTCACTCATCTCCTTTTCTTCTGCCTCCTTCCTCTGGATCTGGCACTCGTCTGACTTCCTGATGCTTATTAAAGTGACAGAAGATTGTTCGCTCCCTCCCCCCGTTTTTGTTGATGGGCTAGTTGGTGCAAGGGATAGTGTGAGGAGGTGACAAGACCGTGCGGGTGAGAGAGGAAAAGGGAGTGAGGCCTCTTCTTTGGTAGCAGTGAGTTATTAAAGCAAGTCACTCGTCCCAACACTTCATTCTTAGCTTTTGCTAAACTTCCCAGACCAAATTTGTGTAGTCCATGAGACTTCAGAGTATTTCCATGATACCATGCAGCAACAAAAGGCCACAGATCGAATGTACTTTATATTGCATCTGATGCTGAAAAAAGGAGGAGCCTGTTGATGTCGGCTGTTGCATCCTGTACTGTGCTAGCACAAATGCTGTTGCTGTTTTAAGGTGAACCAGGCTGCGCGATTGATCCAGATGCAAAATGACCTGCCTTTGGTGAGATGTCTTTCAGTGATAAGTTCCCAGATCTGCTTCTCTGTGTGGCTGCAATGGGAACAAGCAGGGACCGCTTTTTTTGTTTCGGTTTGCTTTTTGCAATAGCTGCAAAAATTAATAAAAAGAAATTAATTAAATGCACGTCAAGCTTTAGCTGTGTAGTTCATCCCTGTAATTGGGCAGAGGGCATCTTCCAAGGTTCACATGCACTTGTGATACCCTGCTCCAAATATTCTTGTAGGACTCAGTGCAGCTGCGTTTGTTGCAGTGACTGTAGTTGCAGTCCGGGCGGGTAAGTGCTGTACTTCAAACTGCAGAGGCCGTGGCTCGCTGGGAACAATTCCTCGTCATGGCTAGCTGCAGACCCTAGCATTAAGGTTTTGTGACAGAAGCGCTGTGTGCCCTTCTTCTGTGAGGCTTCTTTTTTGCAAGTTTAAGTTTACTTTAAAACTTGCTAAAAGCTTGGTTTTTCTGGATTTCAGAGGTTTGAGTTGGAGATGGACTAACCTCAGTCTCGGAGCTGGTCGGGTTGGGCTGTTCTGCACGTATTAAAAGTCAGTGTCCGGGGAGGTCCTGCCCCCCTGCTGCCTGTAGCAGAGCACAGCCCAAGGGAAGGAGCAGAGTATTTATCCTGCATCCAGAAGAGGAGGGGCTTTCTTGTGGCCTCATTCCTCCATTTCTTCTTTCTTTTGTGCTCCCCCCAGGTGTTCATTGTATCTGCACTGGGAAAGTTATGCGAGTCAGCAATTTGCTTTATAAGCAAGCTGTTTATTAGGACCCAGTTGATCAAATGATAGCAGTCTGCTTTTTTTTGCTTCGTTTAATCACATTATTGGGGAAATGATTGAGGAGCATCAGTTTTAATCTGTGTTATTGTTAGCTCATAGTAGAATATTTTGTATTCTGTGTTTTGTCAAGGATGAGAGAATTAAATCAGACTTAATATAGGTGTTTTGTTTGCTGGAACATATTTCTCAAGTTAAAACTTTACTCTGTATGGTAGGGGCTTGATGCTTTTATTCCAAAAGCAGCAGATAACGCTCCAGATATCTTTTGTTTTGTGTATTCTCCTCAGATTGTCAAGGATAGATCGGGCTCAGATTTGCAGTTTACAAGTTAAGCTAAAGTTTAATAATGTACTGTATAACCGAGAACTGGCTTTATAGTTTCTGTGCAGACCATCTCACTGTTAACCTGGACTTAATCCTTCTCCGCTCATGCGCTCCTTTCTGTTTGCCGTATGAGTTCAGTTTGCACTGCCTTGTCGTGTCGATTCCCTCCAAGAGTATTTTGCGCTGGGCACTTGTTCAGCTAAATCCTAAATAGCAGAAATTGGAAAATATTAATGGTGAAGCTGAAGAACAGTGTGGTTTTGTGAACAGCTGATATTTTCTGCCGGATTTTTTTAAATCCTTTTGGGAGGGGTAGGGGGAAGGAATCTCAGAAGTCCTTGGTGCAGTGACTCTGCAGTGGAGACCGTAGCTCCGACCTGCACTGCCTCGACGCTACCCCGCCTCACGGCAGCCTAGGCTACCTGGCCGCTTAATGTCTTATCTGTAGCTGGTTTTCGAGCAGAAAGCGGGCACTAAGCTGGCTTTCTGCAGCAGTGGAGCAGTGGGTGTTGTGGGGGCAGCTGGGGCACCGCTGCCCCGGCGGAGCTGGCCTCTCCCGCTCTGAGCATCCCCTCGCTCCTTAAGGGTTTGACTTCAGCATTAAACGCTAGAGGGTAGTATGTTACTGCTAATGCTTTACTGCAAACTGTATGCAGCTTCATGATTTGTTTTTGGCCCCTTGGCTTTATCATGCAAATAACTTTTTAAACAAATGTAGAAATGAGGAAAAAGTAGTGCTATGTTTTCTGTGACTGTGAGCGAGGTTAGTAATATTTAGAGGTGTGCAGTGTTATCTTTCATTGGTGTAGAAAAAGGATCAGGCTGAATTTAGGTCTCATTTTCAGTCTTTCTTCAGAAGTGTCATTAGGAATGCAATCATTAACAATTAATTCACTCTCTACCTGATGTCTGAATATTCGCCTTTATGTGCTCACAGCGTAAATACGCAATGGCGTGTAAGACGAGGCTGTGACTGAGAAGTAACAGGCAGTTTTAGCAAGAGATACTTGGTTTTGATATTTAACAAGGCAGGTATTTCTAAGTTGACATTGCTCAGAGATATTTTCAATTGGGGTGTACTTTAACTGATTTTTAGTATTTAAATAACTTCATTTTGGCTCTTTTCTCTCAGGCACCACCTTCCATGGTCAATAATGAGCAACGGCAACACGCTGAGCACATATTCTTATCATTTAGAAAATCAAAATCACCATTTGCTGTTTGCAAACACATTTTGGGTAAGTTTTAATAAATGAAGGTGTTAAACATGTACCTGTTTTATAACTAAGACAGCGCTGTTCTTCTGCAGTTGGGAATATTGCCTTGATTTTGGTGAGGGGTGTTTTTTGTTTGTGTTTTCAGATTTTTTTTTTCCATATTTCATGTTTCATGCATTTGTTTCAGTATGATATTTTTGACCTTGTTAGTTATTCAGTTTGGCTGTGAGTCATAGAATAACTGAGTTTGGAAGGAGTCTCAGGAAGTCTCTAGCGTGCCTTCTGCTCAAAGCATGGTCAACACCGAGGTCAGACTAGGCTGCTTAGGGCTTTGTTCTGTCGGGTCTTTAAAACTGGAAAACTTGGGGAGAGAAAAAAAATGTTTTTTCTTTTGGGGCTTGGATAACTGTCTTAACATTTCAACTATCTTTTAATTATGTTGTAAATTCACTTGCAGTTCTTAAAAACAAGCACGCTGAAATGTTTTTAAAATGTAAACAAATTTCAGATTTTGTATTAGTAAAACAATACATTTGTGTGTTTAAACAGTACCTTAAAAAATGCGTTTTAAGGTTATACTTGTGCAATAGCTTTCACCTGGCGCTGCTGTTGAAAGAGGCAGTCCCACCTTCCTCGTCCCCCCCTTAGTCCTGTCCCTGCGTCACCTCTTGGGTGGCCCCAAGATAAAGTGAATAATGCAGCGGTATATCAGCAGGGTCCGTGTGAGCAGATCAGAGAACGGTTGCAGATTCGCTTTGCAAATGCTTGTAGCAGTGTGCGGGAAGGCATGGCGCAGGGATAGCAGGGAGCAGCCCATAGCTGCGAGAGGGCACGGCTGCCCCTTTCGGCATTAGTGCTTGCTAAAAGTCTAGGTGAAACGACAGGTTAAATGTCTGCAGAGCTGCTAGACTTCTTTAGCAGAGGTGTGTGACAGTGGAGGGTGAAGGCTCTTGCTGCCCTTTGTTTTTATTTCTGGCAGCTTCGAAGTTCGTCAGGTGCGGTTTGTTCATGTGGCTAAATCCCTGAACTGATCTAACAGGTTCAGCTTTCCCCTGCTACGTGCTTATGGTACTGTTGTCTAAGCGGTGGAGCTGTAGAGCTGCCTGCAGTTTGATAGCTGGATGCTTCCCATGAAATCAGCTGACAATACAATTTTGTATGCCTTTGCCAGACTTTGCACTCAACGCTGAACTTTTCCGTGGTGAGACTCTGTTTCGGGTTGAATGTCTCAGTAGGTTTCGGTTAGGGGCCCAACCGCTTCAAAGAATGAAGTTAAAAACATTTCTGCCCACTTGGTAGAAGCAATAGAGTATTGGTTCAAAGTTTTGTGGGACTGTAGCTGCCCTGAAAGGAAAGAGGTAGGTAGGTGTCACCCTTTTATCAGAAATTTCTTGGGTGATCTCTATGGAAATGCTTCAAATTTGGTCATGCTGCCAGGCTTAAAAAAAAAAAACTCAGTTCTTACAGGCCCTATAGAGACTTACTAGAGTTCTGGGAGATGAATAATCTGAAAATTTCAGCCAGGCTAAGCATGTAAGGTTGCTGCCTGCCACCTCTGTAGGGACCAGATGCAAGTGCTGAGGGACGCGGAAGGGAGCTCTCAGCAAAGCTGGCTCCGAAATCTGGTGAGGAGCGCTTTGAAATTTAGGGAAAAGAACCCCACCCCCCAAAAAATGAAAAGCAATTTCTATATGAAAGAGTTTGCCAGAATGAAAAGAGAAATGGTAGAATAATGTTTAAAATATGATTATTGCTGTATTTATTTATCAATTATTTCAAAATTTAGTGGAGCGGAGAAGTACAATTTATGGGTATGATTTATTGTTATGTTCATATTGCAGGCCTCAATATTGTGTTGCTAAATTATACTGTAATATATATAGAGAGCAGGGTGTGGTTGGCTTCCTTTCATATCCCCCACTCCCCAGCCAAAATTTTCTCTACAAATGGGTTTCTTCTTCTTTTAGTGTATTACATTAGTTCTTTTTCTGATCCCGAAGGCTATAACCACCTTTTTTATTTCAGAGGTCAGCAAAGCTGATGCTTTTTATTTTCACATTGATTCTTACAGATTTGTAAATAGGCAAAATAATATATTTAAGTAATTTTTTTTTGCACAACAGTTCCATTTCTCTTAAATGGTATGTTTGTCACTACTCAGAAGTAAATAATGGAAATTTACGAAATAAGTACTTAGCAGTATTATTTGTGCTGAGGGATACGTTACTGCATCGTGTTCTGGAAGAAGTGAATACGGTTTAGCATTAATAATGGAACCATCACTGCGGACTTCTTTTTTTGTCTTCTGAAATACTCCTGGCTGGGAAGAACGTGATCCTCTTTTTAACACCTTTCGAGTATCTAGAAATACTGCATCTTTAAAGTGCTCATGTGCTATCACCGTTGAGAAACAAGCATGCCTTGACATGGGGCAGGATTTTTCCTTGCAGCGGCTTGTCCATTAAGCAGTTGAAATGCTGAGACCTGGAACTGAGAGCCTTTTTCCAAAGTTTTGTGCTGCTTGAGTTGATGTTCATAGGGTCCAGAGGGGAAGAACAGCTGCTTTATACCCGAGGGGTGAGAAGGGAGAGGCAGTGATTATGAAATCAAGGAACTAGAGGAGGGAAACAAGCTGTTTGTGATGAAGAAGAAATGAAGTGTACTGAAGGGACACGTGCACGTAGGGAGGGGTAAGAACCTGAGGATTAGAGTAGATGGGGTTAGCTTGAAAGAGAAAAACTACAAATGTGTCTAAGGGAGAGCGATAAGAAGGATGTAGGTGGCGTTCGTGGAAAGAGGAGTGCGTGAGCCACACGGGGAGAAAAACAGATATGATGAGTAAAAGGAAAAGGGGAACAGCCACTATAGTACAGTTGCTTTAGAAACCTGGAATTGAGCCCACAAAGCGTGAGGCTCTGCAACCTTCTGCTATAAGCTTACAGCTGTTGAGTAGAGAGGCAAAACTCTTCTTATTTTCCTCTACATCCTGTGGAGTATAACGATGCTCTTTCTAGTTAAAAACCTGCAGCAAGTGCTGGACATCTGTGCTGTTAATGATTGCAGGTCTGGATCAGTGGTACTTGATGCAAAGAACAAATTCCATCCCTCTTTATTAGTAGTGTTCTCTGTTTGCGTGAGCTTTGTGCAGTTTGCAAATCCAGTGACCCAAAAGTTAGAAAATGCTAGAATTAGGATTCCCATGGAGGAATAATTTGGCTCATTTCTATGTATATGTTAGACATGCACATTATTTTTTAATTTAGTGGTTACTTTTTCCAAATTGTATCTAAAGATGGTTTGTTTTGATTTAAGCATGTTTACCTGTGTAGTGTTTAGAGTTTGGAGCCTTATGAATAAAATTACATTAAAACGTTTTAGCAAATTGGCTGCTATCTTGCATGTAGAACTTGTATATAAAGGGAACGAGTATTATAACCTTGTGTGTATAAAATCAGGTGAAGAAGGTTTGTTTTGTAGTCACTTGAAGTGTGTCATCCCATGATGGAGACTTCCTTGTGCAAACCCAGTTTTTCTAGTCCTGGTAGTTCATTCACCGTAGCTCAGACTCCACTTCTTGTTCTGGAATATTTCTTTTCCTTTTTTCATACTTTATGCTTTTGTCACTCTGCAGCTGCACCTCTTCTAATTGCTCTTTCTGGGTTTTCTACAGTAGACAAAATGTTTTGAAACTGGCTACTGAGACACTGCCTGTTATTTCTAAGTTAAAATTTTAAAAAGCAATGGATCAAGAAATATTTCTCTGTAGCCGCCTGTTGTGGTACGAATTGAATTCAGCTTCTGGGGTTTCTCTTTAAATTATATTTTATAGTCACCCAAATCGCCACCTTTTACCATAACGTGCTTCCTTAGCCTATCTGTATGTAAAGCGAGAAGATATTTAGATAACGAGGGCTAATAGTTTCTACGCTTTAAAAAGTTACATTTGGATTAGTTCAATAAAAAACATGGAAGCTTGAGCTTAATACAGAAACCTTAAAAAACCTGATCTATAAAGCTTATGCTTTGGTAATTTAAAAGCAAGTCATCTATCCATAAAATGCATGTAATTTTATGCATTTTTGGTTGCAAAGGCAAGCACTCAAATGGCAGAAGAGCCCTCACTTCTGCCATACCCTGTAATTTAGTCATATCTTAATGTATTGCGATTAAAGTCTTTGTGATCGTTTTTTTTATTTTGCCCCACAGTCATCTTTCTTATCGTTCTTACTCTTGATCTTTGGCTCAGTCTCCATGTGCAGCCAGTTTTTCTTCCCCTGAATCTCTGACCCAACTGAAATAATATTGGACAATTTGATATTTGGGTTACTGATTTTCCCCTCCCTGTGAAATGTAAAGTCTTTGTCTGTTTTCATAGTAACAAAATAATCTTACAATTCCTTTCTTTTTTTCTTAGAAATACCTACAAGTTAAATATATGCCTGTCTTCTGATGCTCAAATTGCCTTTGTTTTTCCCAACAGAAACTAGTAAAGTGGACTATGTCCTTTTTCAAGCTGCTACAGCGATAATGGAAGCAGTTGTACGAGAATGGATCCTGTTGGAAAAAACTAGCATCGAGTCACTGCGAACATTCCTTCTAACCTATGTCTTACAGAGGCCTAAGTAAGTATAGCAAAAATAACTCTTAGACGTAGAGGATTCTGCATAAGGTCTTATTTTTTCTTTTGTTTCCAAACGTAGTGGTGGAATGCGATTTCAACACTAACGCGTCTTCTAGTTTTTTAAGGCTTAGTTGACTTCTGCCATTTCGTCAGCTTTCCCTTCAGCATTCACAAAGAATGTTTAAAAAAAATTGCGTTTAAAATGTTAGTGAGTATTGATGTTCAAAATTACTTGCAAACATATTTTTGCAATGTTGTTTACAGCCTTCAAAAGTATGTTCGGGAGCAGATTCTATTAGCAGTAGCAGTAATAGTGAAACGGGGATCACTAGACAAATCAATTGACTGCAAAAGCATTTTCCATGAAGTCAGCCAGTTGATCAGCAGCGGTAACCCCACGGTGGTAAGTAGCTTTTTTCAAAATGTAAGCAGTCTACATCAGTAATGTACATTATGTACTTAGTAACCATAAGATCTTGTATACTTTTCTTACCCAAAAATTAAAATTTGTAATTAAGTTGATAGCTGTTCAATCATCTGCTAAGTCTGTTTAGATTTTTGAATGAGAATGTCTGGAGACTAGCAGTAGTATGTGTAGTCCTTGAGTACACAGCTATGCTGTATTTCTTAGATAACAGGTTTGTTGGAATAGTCAGTCAGCTAGTGCAAAGTAATCTTTGGTTCCGCTTTGACCACCACTAATGTGGTGGGGTTTTTTGTTTCCCTGGGTTTCTTTAATAAACCAGCATGATCTAAAATGGATTTTCCCTTGGCTGGCGGTGGCTTCCTACACGCTGTGTTCCCCTCCCATCTGTCCGGCACTGCACCCTCCTGTGGTTCAGCTGTCGGAATCGGCTGCAGAACGAGAGCCGTAGACCTCGGCCGTTCCCCGCGAGGCGGGTGGGTGGAGAGGAAGGGATGCGAGGAAGTAAAAAGTGGAATGGAAATACAAAACTTACTCTAGATTTAATGTCATACTAGGGGTAAGTGTTACCTTCCTTATTGAGCTCAAAGTGGAAACAAGGTGTCCAATATCTATCTATGCATTTAGTGGAATTCCATTTGCTATGCCAGGAGATAAGTTTAGAATAGGTCATAATAGAGGCATGTAACTAGAGATTAAAGAGAGGTGATTTTTCTTCTTCCAAATGCAAATCTAAGATTATGTAGATTCCATACTGAAACTTTTAACTGAAGCTTTATTCAGACAAAGCAACCTCTGAGGGAACTGACTGTTAACATTGGTGAACATTTAGAACAACATTTGTACTAGTTGCAAGCAGCAAATGTTTTAACTCTGAAAATTCAATCAAAGTAGTGCACTAGAAGTAATGCAGCTCATGTCATGGTCCTAAAAATAGTATGCCACCTCTGAGTACAAGTGATATCTCTCAAGGGTATGGAAGTTTCAATTGTTTCTGAACTTCAGATTCACTGTTATTTAGCTTAATGAAAAAAATTTTAGCCTGCCGTTGTGCATAATTTGGATAGAAATAGGTATTTGTTTAAAAGAACAGTGCTTAGCTCCTGGGTTTTTTCCCAGGGAGGAAAGCCTTGTGTTTTAAAAATGGAATTATGACCAAGGTTTTCAAGTTTTGTATGTACCCATGTATGTGCTTGTGTAGTTTATATGACCATTCTGTAAAGATACAAAAGCGGAGTAAAAAGAAATACGCGTGTTGAGAGAAAAGTTATCACTGGATTAACTCTTGCACAATCCTACTTCTACAGTTCTGTTCTGTGCATGCATTAATGTACGGACGTGTTACGCTGAACACAGCATGTAACCAGTTAAAACTGCCAGCTGTAAATATCACACCAGACTCGCTCGCTGCAGAGCAAACTGCATCAGGGACTGGCTGCGCCTAGGGGAAGCGGCGATCTTTCATTCTCCCCTTCCCTAAGCTCTGCTTGCTGCTACCATACAGAGACGAATTTTGGCTCGGCTTCTTCTCTCCTTTTATCCACTGCTCTCCACAAACAATAGTCTTGTTCCGTAGTTTTGCCAAAGTAATTGTGCTCAAGTTTTAGGAAGGGTATTAAACATATCTTGAGCATGTAATGATATTTTCTATTCCAGTAGGCTAATACTACTTGCTATCAAAAACAGACATGTGATGCTGCTTGAACATCTTTTCTATGTGGTGCAGTAAAAGTTTGCAGGTCTTAAACAGGCTAGTATGAACATGTGCTCCCATGCACTTATGAGGCTTTACATTGTAAAATAGTTCTCATTCATAAAAGTGTTTTTGTAATCTTCTGAGACTTTGTTGTGAGAGAAATTCTAGTACTAGCACTGCTTCATGTGACCCAGGACTTGGTATCCTTAATACAGAATAATAAGCAATACCAAAATTCTGAGGCTGTTTTGCTTTTTTTCCCTCTGTGTGTGTACATTAGTACAGTACTTGCTACAGCTGAGCCCTGAGTGAGACCAGGACCTACTCTTATATAAATATGAAATAACTATGAAAGATTGTATAACTGTATGAAATAATTAAATATTCACTTAAACTATTCTACGTAAATATTGGTGGTATTTTTTAAATAACGGCCCTGTAGAGCGCTGTTGTGCCCATTAAGCTCTGCGTGGAACTAAAAGACCTACAGTTGTGTCAATGGAGCGTGGCGTCTAGGCTTATAGTTCTGTAAGCTATGGTACAAGGCTAATGAAACTGTACTGCTTTCCAGACCAAGATGATCTGAGAAGACAGTGCCGTGTAAAAACAGACTTCTACCCAAGTCAGGTTGGAGGATAGGATGTGGGTGTTGGGAGAGACCAGCAGATGTTTCCCAGCGCTCTCTATGTGCCTCCCTGACTCTTTTTTTGCTTTCTTCATCACATCTTTTCTGTAATGCACCACGCACACTTGCCTCCAGCATTATGCCCTGCAATTTCAGGATTCTGTCACATCTTTTTGACTCCCAATTCTCTGTCTAGTCTCCTGGTCCCTCTGTGTCCTGCCTAAGCTGCCACTCCATAATTTTTCCCTCTGGTCTGCTGCCCACCCATCTGTGTCCCCCTGCCTGTGGTTCAGTGCAGCAGCTGTGGAAGGTACCACATGGAGTCAGCAGCAGGCCACTTTCTGTTTAAAAATGTTTAAAGTTTTCAAACATGACTTTTAGCCATTGATAATGGATTTGTGCAAGTGTTAGGCTGAGTCAGGCTTATGGGGTAGCGTGGAAGGGGGAGGAAAAAACATGGAAAAGATATATTTTGCCCCCACAGCAGAGAAAAGACAACACTTTTTGATCTGTTCAGAAAGGGCATATGAAAACACGGAACTGTGTATGAAGAAAAGAGCTAGCTTAAGCTGAAGGCTTAATTATTTAATTTACGTAACAGTTTGTAATTGGGAGTGTCCTTTTTTTAAAAGTAAGCTGGTCTCTTGCCTACTTTTCTGCTTGCTTTCTCATCTGTGCTGGCTCTGAAGTGACCTGGCCCTTTATCTTACAAGAATGAAGTAAGTGCTTAATCTTTTCCACTCCCTGCAACCCTCTTCCTAATTCCTGTCAGACATCTGCAATAGCTTTTTGTTTGCTAGATATTTGTGTCCCATAAAATCTATGGGATTTGGATAACATGCTGTCAGGATCAAGTCCTGAAGTTAAATGTAATCAGAATAGCAAATGTAGATGGTACTATACAGCAAATGTAGATGGTAATGTGTGTTTTGGATCTGTGTCCTTCTGTAGAGTTCCATATGCTTAATATCTTAACTTTTGGCATGTAAGTTAAACATTTCTTTAGAAGTGGATTTTATTTTGAAGATGGAACTTGAAGGTATATTGAATAATGTTGTGACAAACGACGTGGGGGCAGGACTGATGGATGAGCTGTTGAGAATGAAAAATTGGATGGAAGAGAAGAAGAGGGATAGAGATGAAAGGAAGAAAGTGGGGCAGGAGATGAAAAATTTGTCTTTAGCATTGAGTAATTTCTTAATAGTGGAAAACAGAGTACACATTAAGGAAATAACAGGGTACTAAAGAGAAGTAACACTATTCAGCATGGAAAGGAGATGGGAAGGATGCATGGTTGGAGCCAAGCTTTGAATCTGGAATGTTGGCTCCTGCTCTTGCTCCTCTGAGGCGCTGACCTTTATGTACCTCGTGGAGGAGACCACTATCTGATAAGGGTACACCGAGTATATAAGGCATGGAGGCTTGTTAATTTATAAACAAGTTTAGGTAGCAGTCCTTTGGGAGGCCATGGATTAACTTTGGAGTTCCTGTTTTTGTTTTTCCTGGCTCTTGTAACATCCGTGCAAGCCATCCTTCTGCTCATGAAGCAGAGGCTGTAAGCTCCCCGATAGCAATTGCAGCATCTTTTTTCAAAGTCTGTGTGTCTGAGGGACAGAGCCTCTGGCAGTAGATACAATACTGTGGGCCAGTTGTAGACCACTAAATATATTTTCCACCACTGATTTCAAGATTTTGGAGAATTGTGTGGGCCAGGTTCTTCTCAATTATAAATACCTTCAACTTCTTGGCCTTTTCTTTTTGTATTAGAATACTTCTTTTGTATAACTGAAGTATTTCTGTATTTCTTCATTCCTGCCAGAAGGACAGGTATCCTGGCAGTTAAAGTAACCAGTTCCCAGGAGGCGGAACTTGTCTGCAGGTGAACAGAATCAGGTGGAACAGTTGTTTACACCTGCTCTAGGATATGGATTATGCCTGGACACAAGATGGAGAAGCAATGGAAGCTGTGGTTTTAAGATCTAGTATGCTTATCATAGAATGTATTGTAGCATAAAGCTCTGTATCTGACTTACTCTGTATATGCAAAAAGACCTGTCAAGACCTGGAAGAACTCTGGGTTCTACAGTTCTTTCTGCCTTCAAGTCTGCAGATCTTTAGTTGGTTTTCCTTTGCTCTCAGCTGGGCTGGAAAGGAGACTGAGATGCTTCAGCTTACCTAAAACTGTATGGGAATGTGATATGGGTCCCATGTGAACAGTGGGAAATATCAGTAAGCAGAGCTCATAGAGTCACAGAATAGTTGAAACTGGAAAGGACCTCTGGAGACCATCTAATGTAACCCCCAAAACTGGGCATTCCTCTTCACTGAAATTAACCTGTAATTAATAATGACTGAACAGATAACTAATTAAATAGTGTTTATGGTCCTTATTTCTGTTCTTTGAGAGGATTTTCACTCCTGGATATCTGTCTAGCTGTTCTTGTCTCATGTGGCAGGGTAGGAGTTGGAGAGTCTCTCTTGTCAAATTTGTCAAAGTTTACGAGTCAAAAAAACCACATTATTCTCCCTGCTCCACCTTCAGCTGTATCTTCTGGTCTAATAAAATTATTACCTTTCCTTGTGAACCTTGTGGCATATTGAGTATAAAAGCCAGATGGTAAACCAGGATATTTAAGCTCTTGTTTTCTTAATGCTGAC